CCCACACCCACACGGAAAACATGGCACGCCAGCAAGCGCAGGTGTGCGCAGCCATCGCCGCGGGCGCCCGCCCGCGCACCACCCTGGCTGGAGCCACCGTGCTGCCCATTGCACGTGGCGCAAATGGCGCGGGCTTCGTCTACCTCGCTCGACCGGACGGCACAACGACGACGCTCGGGAGCTTCTACTATCGGGAAACCGGCTCGCGCCCGCCCACCAAGTGGCTGGACTTCGGACTCCCGGCGGCGGGTCTCGGGCTCGGACTCCAACTTCGCGTTCGAGCTGCCGGAGACGCTGCACATGCAGTCCAGCGCCAAGATGGCGGTCTACAAGGTCCGCATCGCGGACGCCTTCCTGAGCACCGACCGGGGCCGGAACTTGTACTGGCAGGACCAGGCCCTGGGCACGCTGAACTCCGGGCAGCTGCCCGTGGGCGCCTGGACGGGGGCCCGGCTGGCGGCCTGGATCTCCTCCAATTACGCCGCAGCCACCTACGTCGAGGCCAGCCTGGCGGAGCACCACCACTTCTTGGAGATCATGGCCGGCACCTACGACTCCAAGATCAAGAACATGCGCATGAACAGGCTGGAATTCGAGGACACGCAGTTCATCGCCGCATTCCCGGTGGAGCGCGTGCCCAAGCACCCGCTGAGCGGCATCTCCACGCGCTCCGGCGACCTGGCACGCTTCACCTTCAAGAATCTGCAGGCGGACCGCGCCCAGAAGCTCTACATCCATCTGGTCAGCTACCAAATCGTGACGCTCTCGGGCGCCGGCGTGAGCGTGCTTGACTAAGGAAAGCACCATGAGCCTCTTCGAGAGCACTATCACCGAGAACATTCTGAACGATGGGCAGACCACCGAGACCACCGGCATCACAGCAGGCCAATTGGCCACCGTTCTGACGGCCTACACGCCTTTGACGCACTGCCGCAAACACCGCCAACGCCACCGCAGCGGCCAACAACGCGGCCGCCGTGGCCAGCGTGCAGGCCCAGGTCAACGCCCTGCCCCCGCCGCCGGACCTCGCGCCCTATGCGCTGGCCGCCGACCTCGCGGCAGCCGAAGGGCAGCTGGCCGCAAACCAGTCCAGCATCACCGCCCTCAACACCAGTCTGACGACAGGCCTGGCCGCGAAGGCCAACCAGAGCGCGCTGGACGCCCTGCAGCTCGAGGTCCAAGGCAAGAGCACCCCAGCAAACGTCGACGCCAAGCTGGCGAGCTACAGCACCACGGCTGCCATGAATTCTGCGATCGCAAGTGCAAACAACGCCACCCTGGCCACCGTGGGGAGCACCTACGCCCTGCGCTCTGTCACGGATCAATTAGCCTTGGACCTCGCAGCCAAGCAATCCAGCGCGGACGTGGACCAAAAGATTGCCACGGCACTGCTGGACCGACCCAGCACGACTGATTTGAATGCGGCCGTGGGCCTGCGCACCTCGCCCGCGGACGTCGACCAGAAGCTCGCCACGGCGCTGCTGACCTTCGTCACGCAGGTGGCCCTGGACGCCGCCCTGGCCCTCCGAGACGGGCGTTTGGACGCCGCCGAGGCATCCATTGCCACCCTGCAGGCGGCAGGCTTTCAGACGGCTGCTCAGGTAGCTTCGGCCATTGCCACGGCTTTGCTGAGCTACACAGACTCCGCAGGCATCAATGCGCTGCTGGCCGTCAGGGACGGGCGCTTGGATGCCGCGGAAGCCTCGAGTACAGGCCTGCAAACGGCGGGCTACCAGACCTCAGCGCAGGTCGCGCCATGCTGGACGCTGCTCTGGGCCTGCGCGACCTGCGGCTGGACAGCGCCGAGGCCAGCATCCTGGCCCTGCAGACCGCCGGGCCCTTCGCCAGCGCCACCAATCTGGATTGCTTGGAGACCAGCCTGCAGAGCGCCATCGACGCCGTGCTTGCGCAGCTGGCGGTGCTGGCCGCCGGCGCCGTGCAGAACGCCTCTGAGTGGGCGGGGCAGACCACCTTCGAGCTGCTGGCCGCGCCAAGCATCCTGCGGCGGCTGCACGTCACGGCTCCACTGAGCATCAGCCTGCAAAACGAAGACCTGGCCCTGAGCATCGCCTGCGATTCCTACAGCACGACCGAGGCGGACGCTGCCATCGGGGCCGCCATCGCCGCGGCGCTGGCGAGACGCAGCAATTACAGCCGCTCTGGCAGCCTTCAGCAACACTTCCGAGGTCAACGGGTTGATCGCTGCGGCCTTGGCCGCGTACAGCACCACCGCTGAAATGAACTCTGCCATCTCCGCCGCAGTTGCAGGGATCGATCTGAGCCCTTATTACACCAGCGCCCAAACAGACGCAGCCATCACGGCCGCCCTGGTGCCGGTGACGCTGACGAACGCGCCGGCGTGGAGCGCGAATCCGCCGACCTGGATGCTGCTGAAGGGCACCAACGTGCTGCGCAACCTGCACTTTGCGGGCCCGCTGAGCGCGAGCCTGCAGAACAACACGGACACGTTGGAAATCGACTGCGATAGCTACGAAAAGGCTGGAACATATACTCAGGCCGAGGTGAACGCCGTGGTGGCGGGGACTATAGATGCCCTGAACGTCACGCAGTACAGGACCGAGGCCCAGGTCTCCACGGCCATCTCGGACGCCTTGGTGCCTTATTACACCAGCGCAGAAGTGGATGCCGAGATCGCCGCGAACGGCTTCGACAGCAGTGAATACTACACCCGCACCCAGAGCGACTCCAGGTGCCAGCCCCGGCAGCGTCTCCCTTGTGCGGGACAACGTGACGCCGCCGCAGGTCCGCGGCCTGGTTCTGAGAAGCCCACTGAGCTCCAGCGTGCTCTTCTCAGCGGCACCGTGCTGGAGCTCACCTGCGACGCGTGCACTAAGGCGCAGGCCGACGGGCGCTACGTGCAGTCCGGCAACTTGGGCAGCCTGGACAGCCGCTACTTCCCGGTGAACGGCAACAACGGCGGCGGCGGGATTTTCCCCATGGTGATCACCACCTTGACACCCAGGATGATCCGCGCCATACTGCCCAGGGCGCCCCTGAGCGGCGCCTTCATCCTGGGCAACGCCGGCACGCTGGAGCTGAACTGCGACTGCTACAGCAAGAGCGAGAGCGACGGCAGATACTACACCATCGGCCAGTCCAACGCCAACTTCGCGGATATTAGCACTGAGGCGGATGTGGCCGCTCTGGCCGCTCGAGTCACGGCGCTGGAGGCCAGCCCCCTGCCGGCAGACATCTCCGTCAACAGCGTCTCCGCCACTGGGGACTGGCTATCCTTGTGGGCGGCACTGCCGGCGCCAGGATCAGGGACAGCTCCAACAACGATCTAATCACCGTGACTACCTCGGAGGCCTTCTTCGGAATCCGATCGC